ACAATTCGTCAAAGAGACAAGTGAAGCCGATCCTTTGACCAAACGTGTGCTAAACAGTTATGGTATCTCCTCTTTTGCCCTGGCCTATTCACATTTCCTATATACTCCTATCACACCTTCACTGTCACCATTTTTTTACTTGCTTAATTAAATGTGGTACAGTGTGCCCTTTTGATCGGCTTTCATCACAACCCTCCGCACTCCACGCTGGCCTTCTCACCCCCCTAAATCCTTGTGCTGGGAATGTTGATCAGAGTCTGACATATTGTTAAGAAGTCCTCCTTCCCTAGGTCTTATCACAGTCTCTCTCTTGCCCCGTAAGATCCGTCTGCCCTATTCCTGCTTCACATATTTCACTCGACTTCCTCCACCTTATCTGTGCCACTCGAGGCGGTATTCGCCCTCCCCTGCGTCTGGGTGACTTATTCGAGGCTAAAGCCTCTGAGTGGCCTTTGCCACATGGAACCACATGTCTTATAAAAAACTACTGTCAGCCGACTAGCTTCCATCGCCGCCGCATCTATCCTGTTTCTATCTCTAATACCAAGTCTATGACTTCCCATGCCCTAGTCTCTTGTGTGCCAACCCACAAATGCTGTGGTACTACTTTCTTTGACTAGTTTCAATGTTGAACACAACGTTTGTGGGTTGGCACGCGAGAGACTTGGGCATGAGAAATGATAGACTTGGTATTAGAGATAGAAACAGGATAGAAGTGGCGGCGATGGGAGCTAGTGGGCTGACAGTAGGTTTTATTAGAGCTATGGTCCATGTGGCAAAGGTCTGACAATGAGACTTACTCAGAGGCTTTAGCTTCGAATTAGTCGCCCAGACGCAGGGGAGGGCGAATAGCGCCTCGAGTGGCACAGATGGAGTGACATGGGTCGAGTGAAATATGTGAAGCAGGGAGAGGGCAGACTGTGGTAAGACCTAGGGAAGGAGGACTGTGTAACAATATGTCAGGCTCTGATCCACACTTCCTTGATAAGGATGAAGGGGGGTGAGAAGGCCAGAGTGGAGTGCGGAGGGTTCTCATGAAAGCCGCTCAAAAGACCACATTTAATAAAGCAAGTAAAAAAATGGTGACAGTGAAAGTATGATAGGAGGATTAGGAAATGTGAATACGCCAGGGCAGAATAGGAGATACCATAACCATTTAGTACAGGTTTGGTCAAAGGATTGGCTTCACTTGTCTCTTTGACGAATTGTACTATGGTGCTACGAATAGCAAAGCTCACTGACGATGCCGACTACAATGCCGGCGAAACGTCTGGGAATGTACCATGTCCACGCTTCGACTTTGGAAATGATTATGCATACAATGGACTTAGGACAAGGTGCGTTTCTCTAAGTCTTCCCACCAATATGACCAAGTTGCGAAAACAAGGTCAAACATCTTCTTTATTAGGCCTTACCTAGGCCTTGCTCACCTGATAATATAAGCGATCCCATTCACTGGCTCCCCCTGTCGAATAATAAACTGATTGAAACGAAATGATCCTTTGCGCAGACTCATCGCCGCCTGCCGCTTCAGTCTGGGATTCCACTTGTTAAAAAACTCACAACTCCTGACAAAATCGAGCTTCGCCTGGAATTCAGCTGTCTGCGCTGTGCGTAGGCATTGATTGAAGAGTTCGCGCTGAACTGAGAGCAGATGGGCTGAGCAATCTGAGATTATTGTCGCGTTGCGAATGCAGTCGGGGTTAATCAAAGCTAACTCTCCAAAGCTCTTACCGGCATCTAAAACAGACAATAACAAAATGTATTGACTATCCATAAAAGTACGACTATATACAATACTTTTTAAAAATTCCCCATTAAAGTACACTATCACGCAACGTAGATAAGCCTTCAAATTATGCTTATCTTAGATTAGAATCTTTCATAGTCTGGAGCATTGTATGCAAACTGAATCTACCAAATAACTATTCATGATATCCCATTTTAATAAACTTTCCAGGGCCATCTCTTGAACCCTAGAATATATCGCTCACTGCCCCAACCACTGATGCTCTTAATATTGCTAACATAGGCTCAACTATAAATAAATGAAGCAATTTTGGCCAACTTTGTTTCGTAAAA